TTTTTTTTTTTTTTTTGAGACAGACTCTCACCATGTCACCTTCAGTAGAGTGCCGTAGTGTTATAGTTCACAGCAACCTCAAACTCTCGGACTTAAGCAATTCTCTTGCCTCAGCCTCCCAAGTAGCTGGGACTACAGGCACCTGCCACGATGCTGGCTGTTTTTTGTTGCAGTTGTCATTGTTGTTTTAGCTGGTCCCAGGTCCCAGGCCAGGTTCGAACCTGTCAGCCTCAGTGTATGTGAAAAGTGCCCTACCCACTGAGCTATGGGCGCTGCCTCTTAGTTTTAATCTTAATTATTTTCTTAGTTACCTGGTTTAAGATGGTTGAGAGCTCTAGTCATTAAAATAGAAATTATTTGCTTTCTAGAAATATTCATATGTTGCTACATCCAATACACTCCATATTTCATGTCTACTTGTATTACATGTTGAAATTATAGTTCCCTTAAATATAAGATTAACCCTCATAATTAATTAATACAACTAATTACAGTGATTATTTTCATTCAAATCAACTTCATAGATACAAAATATAATAATGAGAGTGAGGAAATGAGAGCACATGTGCTGGAAACTAGATGGAGTCAGTCAGAGTGGAGTCAACATGACATATCTGGTCTCGTCCATTCAGGTCCTGCCTGACCTTTACCCCTTGTCTCCCATTCTTACTGTTTTGTAAATTTAGCTCTCACCCTGAAGATGCCTATCTTGAGTAGTTTAGGTGGATTGATTTAGGAGATTAACTTTAAAATTGAAATGTTGTTTTGGGTCATGAGTTTACTACGAGTCCTGCCAATTATTGTTTAAAATAAGGGTTAACAGGGTTTTCACTTTGAACTTAAATGTATAAAACTATAGTGTTAGAAACAGAAGAACAGAACAGTCTTGGAGAGGCTACTCTCACTGGTCTCCAGAATCCCCACCTTCTGATAAAGTTTGGTGGACCTATATCTGTCTCTACATATTGGTTGACAGTGACAGGTGGGTGGACCGTCTTCAACGGGTACCAAAATTAACTCTTTTAACCAGATTTTGAGTCTTTTGATTTTTTTCAGTTGACATAAGAAATATATTTCAGTAAAATTTTTAGAAAATCAGCGGTATGATTTGTGATGTAACTCTCTTCCCCATCTCCCCAAGAAATCATCAGTAGAAACAATATACTCTAAGCTTTTGGAGTCTGGTCAGGACTTGCCTTATGAAGTTAGGAATGTATCAAGCCTGTCAGGGCCAGAACAGGAAGGAAAGCAAGGGTGAGCCAGGGTCATTCGTATTTACATGCAGCTTGTGTGTTTGAGTATTATGGCACAAAACTATTTTGCTGAGAAAACCAGAGCTGTACTTGGTGGCTCACGGTGGGGGAGAAAAGAATACCAATGAATTATTGTGGGATTACAGCCATGGGAGGAGCGAGGATGACAATCTGACTCCAAAAAGGGTGAGTTGTGGGGAAGCAGTGATTCTGTTTGCTCGACCAAGTGCTTCGTACCTAACAGGAGTTCGGGAAGTATTTGCCAATCAGACCATACAGAATATAGAAATATTTCAATTCGGTGAGGCGGGGATTATTACTTCCATTGTACAGATGAAGAAACTAAAGCCTGAAAGTAACTCCTTGCAAGACTTGCAGTGAACAGCCAATACCCCCGCCCCAATTTCCTCTATATCCGCTCCCGCCAAGCCTTGCACCTGGTCCCCGCCCAGCCTATCCCGCGCTTCCTGATTCCGCCCTGCCCGCACGCAACTACTTCCTGTCTCTAACGTTGGGAGCGTAGGGCGGTAAGTCCATGCTGCTAGGGCTTATATGGCCTTCGAAAACAATCCGTAGGCTGGGCGACGGCGTATGCAAGCAGTAGCGGACCATTCTTTCCCGTGTTACTTGGGCATAACGCAGCAAACATCCCTCGCGAAGACCCGTCATCCCGGAGTGTGGATGACGTCACTTCCTCCCCCCCCCCCCCGCGGGCTGATGAAAGTAGGAAGTACAGCAGGCCCCGGCTAGGGTAGCTAAGAAGAGTCCTGAGCCGTCTTGATATTTCCGTGTTTCCTTCTGGATCGTCCTGGGCTTTAGGAGAGACCGTATGCTGAGTAGAGCTGGCAGATTTATGGAATAAAAATACAGGGTTGCCGGCTCGGCACCTGTAGTTTAGTGAGTAGGGCGCTGGCCACACACACCACAGCTGGCAGATTCGAGCCTGGCCCGGGTCTGCTAAAGAACGACAATTGCAACCAAAAAATATCCGGGTATTGTGGTGGGTGCCTGTAGTCCCAGCTACTCGGGAGGCTGAGGCAAGAGAATCGCTTGGGCCCAAGAGTTTGAGGTTGCTTTGTGCTGTGACTCCACCTCACTCTACGGAGGGTGAAATAGTGAGACTGTCTAAAAAAAAAAATAATAATACAGGGTGGCCACTTAAATTTGAATTTCAGATAAGTGACAAATAATTTTTATCATAGTGTAAGTATTGAATATTGTATGGTACATTCTTAGATTTGAAAAAATCACTTATCGGCTGGACTCAGTGGCTCACACCTGTAATCTTAGCACTCAGGGAGGCTGAGGCAGGTGGATTGTTTGAGCTCAGGAGTTGGAGAACAGCCTGAGCCAGAGCGAGACCCTGTCTCTACTAAAAATAGAAAAAACTTGCCAGGCGTTGTGGTCAGTTCCTGTAGTCCCCTCTACTGGGATATGAGGCAGGAAAATGACTTGAGCCCAGGAGTTCAAGGTTGCTGTAAGCTAGGCTAAGGCCTAGGCACTCCAGCCTGGAGCAACAGAGTGAGAGTTTGTCCCCCCCCCCCCGAAAAAATAAAGAAAGAAATCAGGCTCAGGGCCTGTAGCACAGTGGTTACAGCGTCAGCCACATACACCAAGGGTGGCGGGTTCAAACCCGACCCCTGCCAGCTAAACAACAATGACAACTGTAACAAAAAATAGCTGGGTGTTGTAGCAGGTGCCTGTAG